GAAGGGCTCCCTTCAAACAACAGCAGCCCAGCCCCCCTGGCCTGTCAGCCGAAAAAACCCCTGGCTTCCAGGCAACTACAAGCCCCTCCGGCTGTCGCAGGGACTGAGCCCCCAACCCCTCAGGGACACGTGTGAGCGGGCAGTGGCCGGACGATCCAGATGGCTTTGACCAGGACTGTCCTTCCTTGTCCAGGAGGGATTGCGCCTGGGCCTCAGAGGGCAGCCACGCAACAGGGCCCAGGTTTTCGTGTCCTCTGCCAGACTCCCCTACCTGGCTTCGCTCCCTCTTCCACGGACCCTCGGAAGACGCTCTCCGTGAAGACGGGACGGTTGTCATTCTGGTCACTAATGTTGATGATCACCTCCATGGGGTCCTCTGCCGTCTGGCCATTGGCCAACACCGCGTGGCAAAAGAGCTGCAGGGAAGGCGGAGAAAGGCCGTTATTCCCCAGGGGGGGAGGAGAGAAGGCCCAGATGCATCCGGGCAGCATGTTCCGTGCAGCTCAACCCTTCTTGGCCTCCAGCACTGCCCACTCTGGAGAGGCTGCCCCGAAGGACGAGGGAGGGTCTCGGAAGCCCTGGGACGGGGTCCCCGGGAGCCTCTCAGGCCCCTTCGAGACCACCACGAAAGGACGGAAAACAGAGGCGCTTTAGGAGAGGAGTGGCTTTCCTGCAGAGTCACCTGCTTCTAAACGGGGGCTCTCCGAGGGGCTTCTCTGGGAGGAGAGAAACCCTTGGCCTGCAGCTGTCCTGGCGTCCCAGAGGATGCAGTGACCTTTGCCCTCCCACCCCATCCACGTGGCCAGTTTCCAAGCACGTGGACCTCTTCAGCCACCAGTGCAGGGGCCAACCATTGAAAGCGAAAGGCATGACGGCAGCAGGTGACGAGGACTCACCTCGTAGCGGGGAATCGTCTCCCTGTCCAGCGGGCGAGTCACTTTCAGCCAGCCTGTCTCCCTCTCGATGGTGAAGGTGCCGAGTGGAGGGATGTCGGCCCCCTGCCCAGTGATGCTGTAGTAGACGGTCTCCACTTTTTCTTTGCTGGACTTGATCTGGTTGGGGAGATGGGGTGGGGAAGGTCAGGGATGCCGTGGGCCTGCAGCCCTTTCCACCCTCCGGGGCAGGGGCCAGGGGCGGCCTGTGGCAGAGTAGACTGCGGCAGCTGCGTTGCCTGGCCCAGGGCAGAAAGGGAGGCCCCAAAGCCTGGCTGGAGTGAGTCCCATCCAAGGGGCTCAGTCCAAATGTCCACTCAGCGCCAGCACAAGCAACAACGTTTGAAGTCCTGCATTTGTGGGTCATTTGCAACCCTGGAGGAGAAACTAACTAACTTTAAAACGTGTAAGAGAATCCCAGTAGCGAAGTCCTTACCTCCACCAGCTTCTTGGGGAAAGGGCCCCTCTCATTCTCCGAGCAAAGAATCGGCGGGATGACCCAGTCTCTCTTTTGCCGCCTCAGGCCAGACGAAGACCGTGGGAAGTACAGCTCCTTCACCCGAGCAGACGGACCGCTCTCCTGGGGACACAGACAGGGCTATCTGGTTCTGCAAGCAAGCAAGGGAGAGCCGGCCCCGAAGACCAGCAAACCCTCCCCCAAAGAAGCAGGGGAAGGGGGCACATACCCCATGAGGAGGCGGCCGTCCATGGCCGTGGTGGTGGGGCCGCAGGGTCACTCTGGCCGAATGTTTCCTGCCTCCCAGGTCCCACGTGTGGACGAGGAAGCTGAGCTCCTGCTTGTGGAGATGCAGGGGCCGTTTCACCACCACCCTCCCATCCGGATGCAACTTGAAGCGGGTGTCCTGGGAGAGGAAGGCTCCGGGGCCCCTCCCTGCGCAGCCCTCAAAGTCCACTGGGAGGGAGAGAAAGACAGACGGAGGCAGTGAGCCCGGAGCCCAGACAGCCTGCGCTTGCCAAGCTGCCTTGGCCAACTCTGCTCACCAGGGGGCGCCAGCGTGGCACCAGTAGAAGCCGAGGCTGCTTTTCAAACATAAACAAGGCCGCTTGTCCTGCCCGCTGCTGCCACTCCCTCCCTCCCTCCCTCCCACCCTCCGGTTCAGCCTCATTCAAGACTCATTGGAAGGGAGGCGAGAAAGCACCAGCAGGGAGGGCGTCCAGGCCCCCTCCTCTCCAGCCCTCTCAGCCCACCTCCCCATTGCTGCAGGACAAAGCGGCGCCTGCCAGAAGCACCGTTTTCCGTCCCAGCCCCCCTGTTGTGACCCAGGGAGGCTGAGCCCAGGAGCTGCGCTGGTTGCAGCCTGGTTCCTTCCCATCATCCCCTGCCAAGATGCCCCCGGAGGAGGGCGAGAGGCTTCTCCAAGGAGGTCAGCAAGTCTCCCCGCTTCTCTCCACAGCGGGTGAGCAGGTCCCTGGTCCAGAGAAAGAGACCCAAGCACCAGTCAGGCAGATCCTACCAATTGCTACTCCCCACTTTCTGGGATCTGATGCTTTAAAGCAGCTCTCCAACCTTGGCATCTTTAAGACCTGTAGCAATAGCAATAGCAGTTAGACTTATATACCGCTTCATAGGGCTTTCCGCCCTCTCTAAGCGGTT